ACATTGTGAGCCTGGAAGGTCAGGGAGCACAGGTTTGCAGTTCATTGGACAGTATTTGCATGACAACAACCAAATGGCTACCTTTGGTATAAACAGCATGTAAATGAGAACACCTGGTGTAATATACAAAACAAAAGGAATTCCAATCAAGAGAGGGAAACAGTACAGACTCTCAGTGTGTAAAGTCTGATGCCCCTAATAAACTTCGGCTTTGACCATCAGTCAGGGTCCACGCGTGTTATTATCGGCTCCGTGCACCAAGTCTGTCGCTGCGGGACAGCGACAATAGTCACTGTAGTCTCTCAGGATATCTACCCAGAAGTGGACTCTGGGCTATCTTCAACCTCACTGGATACTGTCCAATGTTTTCCAAGGTGTTTCTAATCACGTAAGTTTCTACTAACAAGTGTCTATGAATTTCAATGGCTCCACATCCACGCCAACATTCGATACTGAGAGATTTTTACTTTCAATTTCTGGCAATCTGAATGGGTACCAGAAAAATATCTCCATTTTGTGTTAAATCGTATTTCCCTGTATGCCAGAAAATTGGGGCATATTCATATGCTGACCGCCTATCTGTGTTTGCTCCTTTGTAAATTGCCCTTGCTTGTTGTTTACCGTGATCAGTTGAGTCCTTTATCTTTTCCGCAGATTTGTAAGCGCTGCCAGGCACTCTGGACCCTGACCTTATATTGATCGCGTGCATTTCTCATACCTTTGCTCAGTCTGTGGATGGCCTTTTTTTTTTTTACCTTTCTAGGGACTATTTTAGTTTTCATTTTTAAAACATCAATTAATTTATTTGAAAGGCAGAGTGACACACAGAGGGAAAAAGAGAAAGACCTTTTACTTGCGGGATCACTCCCCAGATGGCCACAAAGATTTTGGCTGGGCCTGGCTAAAGGCAAGAGCCTGGAGTGCCAGCCGGGTCTTTCACAAGGATGGCAGGGCCCCAAGCACTCTTCCATTGTTCCAGGCACATTAGCGGGGAGCTACATCAGAAGTTGAGCAGATAGGACTTGAACCAGCAGTTATAGGGCATGGCAGTGTGACCGACAGCACCTTCAGGTTGCAGAAACATCCCATGTTGATCTTCACATGCTGAGGCACAAAAAAACCCCCTTTATTTGTCTTTTATATTTTGTGCTGTGTAGCTTGCTATGAACTCCCTACCATAAATTCATAACTATTTTTTTTCTGATATTTCATTGTTTAAGTTTTTTTTTTTATTAACATTGTATTATGTGAAACAGTTTTATAAGCATTGGGGAGTCCCCCCGCCCCTCCCACACCCCTCCTCCCATAGTGGATTGCTCCATCTTGTTGCATAACCACAGTTCAAGTTCAGTTGAAATTCCTACATTGTGAGCATACCCAGCATAAAGTCCAGCGTCCTATTGTCCAGATAAGTTCAGTGGCCTCTTGGGGAGACCTTCTCTGGTCTGAAGGTAGAGCCAACAGAGTAAAGTTCCGGTCAGTTAAAACCCCCAACAAAACATCAGCGTCGATATACAATGTTATGGGGTTAATTGGTATAGTGTTGAGTGAACAATATGTTAAAAAAAAAAAAAAGTTCAATTCTTCCACACCTCTGGGTTTAGACAGTATCAGTGACAGGTTCAGAAAAGTAACAATCAACCAAGCATAAATTACAGGTTAAATCCAGGCAAACATTAGATGTCTGACATAGTGTTGAGTAGACAATATGTAAAAATTACATGTAAGTTCTTGATTACCTTCTACAACTATTTCAATGTCACCTCCTCAATTGAGGTGTGTAATGATTTTGGGGGGTGTTGCAGAGAAATCTCTCATACCTTGCTAATGAGTACTTGTTTTTTATGTTCCATCTAATAGTATATGAGTAAGTCCTTGATGACCTATCTTTATTGTTCTTTGGTTATCTCATCCTATTAGTGTGTGTATATGAGTGTGTGTATAAGTGTGTGTGTGTGTAGAGGGGGAGGGGGGTTTAGGAGGAACCTTGTTGGTCTTTATAGGGGGTGGAGGCCCAGAGCTGAAACTAGGTAAGGACTGGAGAGGATTCCTCCGCCACTGTCCCGCCGGAAGTTTATTGATCTTCTGGTTCTGATGACCAATCGTGGTTCCTAGTCGTTGTTCTGATGTCGTTGGTTCCTATGTGGAAGGACTCGGGCTTCTTCCATCTCGTGTAGTTGGTCCAAAGAGAGGGGGTGTCTGTCCTCTGGGTTCACAGCATTCGAAGGCATTCCAGGTCCCCGTATTCTCTTTGGCAGTTGCGTTGACGTTCTTGTGTCCGTTCTGATAGACCTTGGTGGGAGTCCGGGAGTCCTTATGGGTGGGGGATAAGCCTCCTCCAGTCCCTCTGTTCCGCTCTGGGGTTCTCCCCTATTTTGTGCATATGACCACTTGTTAATAGACTGTTTGGGTCGTTCCTAATTCCCCTGTGTGTCATTGTAGCTTTTGCTGTTGTCTAATGCTGATCTGGATCTATCAACTTTAAGATACTTATCTAGTTCCTGCAGGTTACACTATGTGGATTCCTAGCTTAAGTTCCTAGCTTTAAGTTTTACCTGTTCACATATGTAACTTTAGTCCACCTGGATTTCTGTTTGAAAAGTATGTCTCTTCCCCAAACATGTGCGTACCAGCTCTACCATATGTCAAAATACAAATATAAAAATTACTCTGGAACTTAGCAGCTGGGAATAATAATCATTTATTTTCTTATAGTCTCTTTAGGTTAGAAAACTGGGGGTGGCCTAGCTGGGTAGTTCTGAATCAGACTGTAACAAAGTCAAAAGTAAATGATATCCCCATGTTGTCCTGTGGACATAGGAGAAAAAAAAACCTGAAACATTAATTTTACCTATCTTCCTCACACCTCCACTCTCTCCACCCTAATCAGAGGCCCACATGGGCATGCATCCCTCTCAACTAAGTAACTGTTATTTAAAAGAAATTTTTTTTAATGACACTAGATCTAACAGTAGTCACCTCAAAGATCTACTGGCACTCCCATGTTCCCAGCTGCTGGCTGGTCCTGGGTCCTCTCTGGCCACTGGCCAATGACATCATTTTCTTCCACATGAGTCTTTCCAGAGTCTTATAATAGTAAGCTTACCTACCCTTGAGCAAGAAAAATAAAATGAGAGCGCTCTGCCAAGAAAGATAGCTTTTTGTATAACAATCTCAGAACCCATTCCTGTCACTTCTGTTGGATTCTACTCCTTACTAGTGGAGTTCCTAGCGGAGTACATCGCAGCTCGTACTTGTAGGAGGGGAGTGTGTGAGAGTGTGAATTGCGGTCAGGCCCCACTTACTGAGCATATTAGTGGTGCTGCCATATTGCTGCAATTTCAGTAGCTTTATACTAAGCCTTAGTCCCTGGTAGAGTATATCTCCTTACTTAACTATTCTTCAGGATGTCTTGCCTATTCTGGGCCCTAAACACTGATTCTAGAATCAGCTGATTCCATTAAATAGAAGTCTGTTGGAATTCTCACTAGAATTGCACTACATTATTAGACTTATCTGTCACTGAGTTGCTATTTTATGATAGCAGGCTTTCCTGTTGATTCCAGCACTGTGGTACAGCAGGTTAAACCACCACCTGTGATAGCAGCATCCCACAAGAGCACTGGTTCAAGTCCTGGCCACTTCACTTCTAATCTAACTGCCTGCTAATGTGCCTGGGAAGATGATGGCCCTAACATTTGAATCCCTGCCATTCATGTGGGAGACCCAGATACCATTCCAGGTTCCTGTCTTTGTCTTAGTCCATTTGGATTGAATGGCCATTTAAGGAGTGAATCAGCAGGTGAAAAAGCTCTGTATCTCTCCCTCATTCTCCATAACTCTGCCTTTCAAATCAATAAAATAAAACCTTATTTTTAAAACACTGCATGTTATAGACATTTGGCTTGTTAGTGGTAGCAAAGTTTTACGTTTACTCTTTTCTCTCTGAAGATTTGATCATTTTAGCTTATAAAATAAACTGATAATAAACAGGAAAAGGAGCATAGGAATTTATTCATGTGGGAATAATCACGGCATGGGAGCTGGACACAGTTAAGTCTCAAGGGAAGCCTGTTGGCTGAGGCTGCTGTGAGTTCAGCAAAAGCATAGGGATTTAGGTTTCAGAGGGGTCAGGGAGGCAGCTGTGCAATGCTGCTGCAGGAGGCGCACAAGGAGCCAGGGCGGCTGATGCCAGACCTTCTCCTCCCTCTCCCTGCATCCTGTGGAAAGATCTCTATAAGGAGCTAATGAGCATTCAACAGAAAAGCCCCTTTCCACCCTCCGCCCCCCCCCCCCTTTACTAGTGTCGTTTCCCTTCATAGATATGAGGTACTTTAAGATGGGCAGCCCTTCCCGGTATTCCTGAAGAGGCCAGCAGCGTCCCTGAATAACAAGTTCAAGTACGTTAAAGAAACACATTGCCAGGTGATGTATTTTGAGGTCTCACAGAGTTCAATGGTGACTTAAATTTCTTATAATTTAAAAAAAAAATTTTAATGTATATAATTGTCACCAAAGCCTCCAGGAAGGTTCAGAAAAGCTCAGTCATTATTTCAAGCTTTTGAAGCTGCTGTGCAGTGTAACCATACTTGAACCTAGATTTTTCTGATTTCTGTTTTCATTATCCTGGGTTGTTTAACTGGAGAAAATAGATTCTGGATAATGACCATTTAAAAAGAATAACTTTCACTTCTCCCTTTGCATTCGCGTCCCCTTTTCTACCACGTTTCAGTCCTGTGGTATGGGTGGTTACTGAACCGTTCAAGTGAAGTGGAAACAAAGCTAGGTCTTGGGAAGTAACAGAAAGCAGGCTGAATTTTTTTTTTTTTTTTTTGAGCGTTGCCTTCACTGTGCGCAAGGCATCTTGGAAGTTGTAGTCTCTACGCAGAGAGGGCTGAGCCTCGCGGACTCTCCGGAGGCCAATCAGCAGAGCGCCAACTCGCTCTCCGGCCCTGATTGGCTGAAAGTCAGCGGCCGCCCGCCCCGCCGCGACCCGGGTCGGGCAGCTCCCGGGTCGGGCGGGGTGGAACCCGCGCTCTCCCCGGCGGTGGTTAGTGAGGCTCGGCAGTGCAGCCATGGCAGAACCGCAACCCGTGCCCGGTGGCCTCACGGACGAGGCCGCCCTCAGCTGCTGCGCCGACGCGGACCCCAGCACCAAGGTGGGCACAGACTCCTCTCGTCCCGCGCGTCTCGGGAAGCAGCGGGTTCCTGGGGCTCAGTCGGGGCGGGGTGGGAGGCGGCCCAGCTGGGCCCGGATTCGAACTCCGCTGGCCGTGAGCTGGGGGTGCGGGGTGGATAGTGTGCGATGGCGAGGATCCGTTTCTTCCTGTTGCTTCAAAACCTGGCGACTCTCCAGGCATGGACTTGTTTATTTGGGGACAGTAGCTGGAAGTCAGGCCAAGCCGGGGTCACGTTCCCTCCGCTCTGGCTGACTGGGTCCCCCGGGTTAGTCCGCATGGCGAGACCTCCCTCCTGGCCTAGGCTCGGAGGTCCCTCGCCTGGGGCGAGCCTTGTGGTGGTGTGCGGCCGTCCTCCTGGGACTCCCGCTTCCCAGAGCGCTCGCTTCCTGTCCAGCTCCCTGGACAGGCAGCCCTAGGAGGCCCAGGCCCTGGTGCCCGCCACCCACGTGGAGTTCTTGGCCGCTGACCTTTGTCCTGGCCTAGCCCTATTTGTGGTGGGCATCTGGGAAGTGAACCAGCAGACGAAAGTTCTTCCTCCATCACCTCCACTTCCCCTCTCCCCCCCTCAACTCTCCTTGTCACTCTACGTTTCGGAAAAATGAAAATATATTATGAAGATCCCTGACTGTGCCATCCCCGCCCCAGGTTCCAGCTTAGCTACTCCAAAGCTTTGTCATCGCACCCTAGCTTTCACCCTTACTCAAGACCACAGTTCTACTCTCTTTGTGGGTGGTGTCCCCACCCCTACCCCGAGATTACTGAAGGGAGTCTCAAAGATGCCACCTGTGACCCTGTGTTTTTACAGCGTGACTCGGCAAGGAGGATGACCTGTTGCTCTGAAGGCTTCTGCTTAGTTGCTTCTCTGCCAAGTCAGAGCAGCTCACTCAGGTGTGGCACTTCCCTGCCTTGCGGGAGAAGGCGCAGCAGCCACAGCAGCTGGGGTTCACTGTCTCATCAGTGATGTGTTTGTTAGGGTCTGTGACTTTGGTCCTTGCTTGCTGTTGGACTTGGGGCAAAATCCATTACTTATGATTGCTAAAGCCTTTGATTAGTACCTAGTACTTGGCTTAGGAAAAATATTAGTCACTATAAAATTAAGGGAGGCTTGGAATACACACATGCACACACATGTTCACGCTGATCTCGCATGTATATTCCTTAATACCTGGTTATTTCATATAATACGAATTGAGTCATTTACTGGAAATTAATTTACCACCTAACTAGGGATCTTATGTTACTGAGCAATTTTAAGCAAGTAAAAACGATTCTTAGAAAATACAATAAATACATTCTTTGTATCTTTGTTTATATTCCACATTATCTAAGTTTCTGTAGTTTTTGCTGTTGTTGTTTTGAGATCCTTAAGTTTAGACCCTGGAAATGCCATGTGGAGAAATGACATGGAACAGTAGTATCTTTACAACCAGCGTGTCAGCTCCTGCCTGGGTGCTCTGAGTACACTGCCTAATCCTCACAAAAACCCTATGAGGAAGGCGTAAGTATTATTTTCCATTTTACAAACAAGGAGATTTTAACACAGAGGTGTTAAGTAACCTTCCCAGGGAGGAGCCCTTTTCTCCTGGGCTTCCACCCTTCTCTCCTTTAGGGTGTTGATTCAGCAGTAATTTTAGAATCTCCCATGAATGAAAGTTGAAAACAACAACAAACCCTTGCATTAAACTCAGCTTCATTGCTGATGGTCCAGCATGTGTAAGAACATGGGCTTACTGTGACATCCCTTCTTGCAGCGTATGCCAACTGTAATATCGATGGAACCAGGTTTAATGAGCTGTTAAAATTATAGAGCACCCCAGGAGCAGAGTGACAAGTTTCCAATGGTTTCCATGGAGTGGTGTATGCACAGAGTGTATGGATTTCGAAGTCTGTTTTGAACTTTCACTGCTGTCTTTGACTGTGGTGATCTTAAAGAGCAGTTGGGCTGAGTTTGCGAGAGGAACAGGGGGCTGCCTCAGAGAGCTGCTGTTAGGATACAGTGAGGTGAAATGTGTTATGATGAGCGATACAGTTCAAGATTCCATTTCAGCTCTGGGGATCCAGGAATGCATCCTGGACAAATGGTGTCAGGCCTTGAAGAGTAGATATGATTCCAGTGAATACAGGCACATGGAGGGCATCCCAGGGGAAGGAAGCATCTGGCCAGAATGTAGAATGCTAGAAATATAAAATATAGGCACATCCTGGAGGGTTAGTCAGCTAATTTTGGTCAAAATTTCAGATTATCTAAGTAGCAGAAAAAGCTAACATGGGTGGTTAAAACTTAATCATGGAGAGTTTTGTGTGTAACATTCAAAGAACTGATGAGATGTCATACCTAGTGGGGAACAATTGAGGATTTCAAAGCATCCCGTAGGATAGGGGGCATCTGCATCTGGAGGTGATGAGGTCACTTATAAAGCTCTGTCATGAGAGGGTGTTTGGCCAGGTGGTTAAGACACCAGTTCCCACATCAGAGTGTCTGGGTTTGATCCCCTGCTGTGGTTCCTGAGTGTGACTTCCTGACAAGGCCAGCCCTGGAAAGCAGCAGTGATGGCTCAAGTAATTAGACTCCTGTCACCCATGTGGGAGCCCTGGATTGAGTTCCTGGCTCCCAGCCCTGGCCTTTGCAGGCTTTGGAGAAGTGAACCAGTAGATGAATGTGGTTTCCTTTTGTCACCCCCAGATCCCCATGCCTTCCTCTCAAATTCTTTTTAAAGCAAACAGCAGCAACAGAACCTCTTCCAGAAGATGAGAGACTGATGTTGAATAGGAAGAATAGCACTGGCTGAGTGTCAATGTGTTGATTGATCATTTGCAGCTTCATTTATGAAGGCACCAAGGAGTGTTCAGCTGAACCACATCTGGGGCAGCCTTAGTTGGCTGAGCGTCTTCAGAAGGCTACACCTTACAAGCAGTGATCTCCACGAGGGCTTCCGTATTAGTGTTTGCCATTATTTCCAAACCACCACTATCAGTGTGTTGCTCCTTCAGTCTATAAATATGTGTCTGTGGCCCATGTTCCATCTGAGTGATAAGGAATGAGGTCAAGGAAGAGTCTGTGTTACTAATGGTTGAACCAGGTTGTACTAGATAAGGAGGTAGCTGTGTAGAACCGGATGCAGGGGGAGAGGAAATAGGAAATGAAAAGGAGGAAGGACAGTGGCCAAGTGAATCACTTATTGTTGTGGACAGGCACAAAGAGAGAACTGAGTCAGGAACCTGCCAGCAATGCAGTGAGACTGAAGTTAGAGGTAATAGCAGTGAAGGGGAGGGCGCACAAACAATTATGGAGTATTCAGAAATCTGAGAATTCTCATGTTTGTCACTTCTTGCCTTCTATAAAGATTTGTATTTGGCAAATATGTTTTATAATATATTTATAGAAATATGTTTATGTATTTTATATATTATATTTTATAAAAATGATATATTTGCACTGATGCGTTATTCATATGTAATTGAAGCAAACATACATTCACTTAGGATACATGCTCTTTTTTTTTCTTTATGTGATAAAGGCATGAAATAGAAAATGTTTGCAATAACTAATTTAGGGAAGTTATGATAAAAGGTGATGCTAGAGAAGTATACAGCAATCATATACTTCATGCTTACTTTTGGAACAGTCTCCCCAAAACATTAACGGTAATGACAGAGAAAGGCACAGAGAGCTCCTACCTGCTGGTTTATTTCCTAAATGCCCACAGTGGCTGAATGGGGCTAATCTGTAGCAGGAAACCAGGGACTTTGGTCTCCCAAATGACTGGCAGGAACCCAGCCATTTGCCTCTTGGAAAGCTGGAGTCAGGAGCCAGAGGGAAGCTCAAACCCAGGTTCTCTGGTGGGGGATGTGGGCATCTTAGTGGAGTGTGTTAACCACCAGAACAACACCTACCACTATAGATTTATTTTTAAAAGTTTCGTTTTGTTTATTTGAAAGGCAATATTACAGAGAGGGGCACACACACACACACATCTTCCATCTGCTAGATTACTCACCCATGGCTGCAGTGGCCAGGGCTGGGCCAGACCAAAATCAGGAGCCAGGAGATTATTCTGGGTCTTCTGCATGAGTGCATGGACCCAAGTACTTGATCTATCTTCCAGTACTTTCCCAGACACATTAGCAAGGAGCTGGAACTGAAGTGGAGCATCTAGCGCTACTAAAACGAGTGCTTGGATGGGCTGCTGGCATCACAGGTGGTGACTTTACCCACAGTGCTGCCCTCAAACATTGATTTTGTAAAAATTAAATTGTTTTCCTTTTATTTGAAAGCAGAGACAGACATCCGAGCAGTCTTCTAGGCACTGGTTAATTTCCCCAATACCTGCAATAGATAGGGCGAAGAGGGAGGATCTTTTTTTCTTTAACTGAAATGACACAATTTGGGTTTGCGTTTTAGAAAGATCATTCTGGATTGCATTTAGGTAGGACTACAAGAAGCAGGGAAACAGTAATCCAGGCAGGAAGTAGAGTGGTCATGAGCAAGATAATGATCATTAGGAAGGCTAGCTAGAGAGAACTTCCAGAAGGACTGGAATAGTCCAGACTCTAGGATTGGATTTGAGACAAAGTGTTGAGGAGAACTCAGAGAAGGCTTCAAGTTTCTGACTTGACCAACGGGAAGGTTAAGGCATTCCCTTTTGGAAACAAGAAGGGTCATGAAGAGGAAAACTAACAAATCTGGTGTTTTGCATGGGTGAAAATGACCAGTAGGTGTTAGAGATGAAAGTGCAGAGCTGAGTGTAGCAGTATGGACTGGCAAGCGCAAGGTTGGGGTTCAAAGGCCATAGACCTCGGGGTGCTTCATAATTGTAACAAGTACAGTAGTAAACAAAGTGGCTTACTCTGGGCTAGGTGTCCAGGGAAGCACTTTCACTCATTATCTCTTTTTAGCTCTTCTGTAGGAGCAAAGAACAATAATTATCTCTACCCAAGGAGGTGGAAACTGAAATTCAAGGCACTTGATTCACTCAAGC